GTGACCAACGTAATCCCACTCTTGCACTCTCTAGAACATTTGAGATACCTATCATTTTTACAGCTGGAGCGAGTAAAGGCGCGTCGAGATGAGTTAGCAGCAGAGAAACATGAATGTTTCACAAAGCTCAAGGCTTGTCTTCAGCGAGAATCCATGCAAAAGAAGGCGGAAGACGAACGAAAAAGAAGAGTGCGTTTTGTTTGTAGATATATCCGCAGTCCTTGTTTAGTTTCCAGATGTATGAAATTTTCCAGATTTGGTCATTTTTCAGGAGTTGCTCACGCTTCAAATACAACAACCGTTCTTGGCTGCAACAATTCAAGCACAAGCGCAGGCGCAAGCACAAGCACAAGCCAACAGCTTGATATCAAATCAGCACCTGTTGACGCAGCAAAATTTGCTATCACAGCATTTTTCTGCACAGAATCTGCTGAACCAACAGGCGTTGATCCAGCATCAACAACTGCTCGCTGCGCAAAAATTTCAAGAGCTTGCTCAAGCTCAGCGCACTCTTGTTCAGCAACAGCAAACCGCTGCACAGGTAACTGCGCAACAGGCATTACCGGCAGGAATATCGCCGGCCTATATACAGCAAGCGCTCGGTCAAGTGCAGGTAATATTCATCAGTTTGGCCCAGTTTTCCATTATAATTGCCTGGATTTAGGGATTGCTGCCAGGAGCTACTGCTTCGGTGCCTGGTTTTAGCGCCACCGCGCCAGTGACCAGGTTGGTGATCTTCGTAACAAATTTTTTCGGGACCATTTACCTTTCGTTGTTTACGCCTTGAGGTTTAGATTCAAATCTCGATTTATCTCTGGGTTTTTCTTCGGTGTATTTTTATCGTCAACGATTGTTTACAGAGGAACGCCACCTGTTGGAAACCATTTGGTATTTGGTCAGTTTACTGTCGAACCACCGAAACCACAAGTGCAACCAAGCAGCTCGCAGGCTCAACCTGGTCTTGTAAAACCAGAAGCGCCGAGCCCGCAGGTTTCGCCGGCACCGCAAACTATTACTCAACAGTCGTATGGTTTGCAGAACCTTCCAGCATGTAAGTTTTGTTAGCTTTCCTGGTTTTTTGCCTCTTTGGTGACACTAATACTAAGGGGTGAAAATCATGTAAGTGCCTTTTCAGCGTTTCTCTCGAACTCGAATTCATTTTTCACACGTGCTCTCGCTAACTATCGACAGGAGTACCCCAAGCATATGAGCGATTCGAACAACGGATGACAATGATTGTTTCACACCTACAGCCGGCTATGAACATTCCATGAAATGGTCGTACAGTCTGTGACTGGAGTGTGGTTCCGAACTTTATTTCCTCCTTCTCCGAGTATTGGAGTGCACTACTCCGCTTTAGTGTGAAGATATTCGTTCGTACCTGTGCTTGGCCTTGCAGCATGTCGATCACGCTTTTTGCACTTGCATGTTTGTTTTCGAGTGTTTTCCCTTTGGAACTGCTTTCCATCAATAATATCAATTCGCCATTGCTCGTTCTCCTGAGAATCTCCACTAATAGCGTGCCTCACCAGAATCGATGATGATCACGAGAAGCTTACATACAAACCACTTTTTGTCTAGGTTTTAATTCGCAGCCACTTATAATTTGTCGTGGTCGTTATGGGTGTTCAGTGAATCCATTCCAAGACTTCTCACAAACACTTACGTTTAAGGAGGCTTGAGTTCATTCATCAGGAAATTTTCGTTGTCAGTGCGGGTATTACTCGTGATTTTGTTTCGTGCTGACTAATTTTTGGGCACGCTTTCTGGAATCGTGATCGTCGCCGTGTTGCTTTTGACCAACTTCATGTAGCTTCGATTCTCAGAGCCGTAGCCTACAGTCGGTCTTGCAGGATTCAACTTAAGTTGTTGTCATGTTGGTAGTTTGACTCACCTTTAACAATTTCGTCTTGTTCGCTTTCGAAGAAAGAACTGTGGGAGGATTTCCTCACGTTTGCTTGCTCACCACGTGATGATTTCATAATAAAGTTTCCTTAGTTTATATAGGTGATTAGAGTAACTTGGTTTTTATTGGATGTGATAAATGTTTATTTCCACGTGCTTTTTCGATCTCTGTGCATACGGTACTCTTGCCGTGCTTACTTCCGTCAACGCTTTGGGGAAGCCAAACCCCAGGAGCGGAAATAATGTTTCGTTCGTAGTCCTAGGATGGTCATAAGATCACTTTTGCCTCTTCGTTAATCTTTCTGTGACGCAAATTCACTACAAGAAGTCCGTATTCGTTACTCAGATCCTTAGGTTTCACTCGAAGATCTACATTTGTCGCGTGTTTGAATCGATAGCACCAGTGAAGAGTACCTCGAAAGAGATTTCTGCAAATGTCGCCTCGAAGCCATTTTACTTGAGGGCTGTAGGAACAGCTTAAGCATAACAAGAACTAACTCAATTTCACACACATTTTGTTTGTTACATCCAGGTGAGTTATACTCCTTGAAATTCGAACCATACACTATGAACTTTTTATGTTGATGTCAAATCAAGGGAAGAAGCCCGCGATGTCGTCACCTGGCGCTGACGATGTGTGTCCGATTTGCTTGTGTCCAATTGAGGAGGAGTTCTCACGACCAGAAAATTGCAAGCATCGTTTCGACTTGGATTGCTTAACTGAGTGGGCAAAGGTTCGGTTTCCATCTGTTCATTCGATCGAGGTTTATGAAAAATTCTAGCAACAAAATAATGTGGTACAAGAAATAATGTGCAGAGTGGTACTGCTTGGGAAAAACGAAAAACTTTATTGAAGGCATTTGAGCATGTGGCGCCCTTCCGACCCGCAAGATTTCATGGATCGACGTACACGGTTTTCAGAGCTATCCAAGTATTTCATATTACCTAGGTTGGTTAATGGGTATCAGACAATGTTGGGTGATAGACAAATGCCATCTGACAGGCTGGTATACATAAGCTATTGTGCGAATCACGTCGCATTTAAATTCCTCTGCCATTCTCAATGGAATGTGGATGCATGGCGCATCCACGGAGTGGCCGATTTGACCGCGAACGCTTTTATTATTCGATTGAGGGGTGTAGCGCAAAACTCGTGACACCACTGTGAGAAAAGCGCAAAGATCACACGAAACCGTCTGTTTCTTAGATTATTATCGCAGTTTTTGCTCTCTTCCAGTTGTTCCAAAAGCTTGGATTCTGAGAGCAAGATGATCGTCTGACCCTCACTGTCCTACAAGCCAGGATTAGGCTGCGGTCATTTGTAATTGATTTCGCAGTTTGTGCGTGGAATAGACCACTCAACGAGAAATCGCCAAAGCGCAGTCGCAACCTGTGATCTATGCCACTACTTCGGCTTTCCTCTGTGTTGCCTCTCGCAAAAAGCTAGGGCGCAGACGGATAAAAGAGGGTGGCCACCTCAGGTCTGACGGCACCCGGTGGGGTGACCGTGCGTGGGAGTCCGAACATGGGGGCAACGTTGTACGTGCGATGCTAGTCAAGAAACGCTATTTTGGCAAGGGAGCTGATGACGAGGGCAGCATGTGTTTTAAGGCTGTGTTCAAGCAGCAATGTAGACCCTGTCAGAGTGGATGAAGTGCATCTCTGGTACAGAGAACCCATTGGTTACGTTACAAGTGTGGTGAGGACGTTATGAGCTGCGTTAGTTTATCCGATGAGTGCTAATAATTGTGATGGTGGTGCAGGTGATGGTAACAAATTCATAATAATAGTTTTCAAGAGAGACGGAGGCATTTTTTTTTCAAATAGTATCCCTCTATTCCTCTCTTGGGAAAAGTGAAAGGTGATTACTCATCGGGGAAGAGCTTGCTTAGGTAGTTCATATAAGAAGGGTAAAATTATCTTCGGTGTTGGTTAATTTTCTTCAATCTTCTTCAGTGGCCTTTTCATTACCTATAAAAGACACGCTTCGGGATTAGACATGCCCCCGATTCCATACCCGAGCGTAGTAGGCAGGCCTACAAGCGGTGCACCCCCCTTTTGTGGCTGAAAGTGCGCGATAAAGGCGCTGGAAACTCGCTTGGTCCGTAATTCAGTCCTTCGTCCGCAAGCCCTGCCTTCACCTGTCGGTTGTTTCCAAAAAAAGATTGACTGACGGCAAGCTTTCTGCTTTTTTTTTTAAAAACATGACCCCTCTAAATAACTGCAGGTGTCAGTGCAATACGCATGATCCAGGCATAGTTGTGTGATGCTACAAAAATCGTTGCAGTTACGGCTGAGCTGTCCATCATGCCGTGCCAATTTCGGAGCAATCTACACCTACAAAATATTGGAAGGCAAACCAACGCTGCACAAAGTGCAAAAAATGGAACAACCAACACAGGTTGAGGTCAGTCCCGTGAGCTCTTGATTTTAGTGTCGTTTCTTGTCTACTGGTCGTTCCAATTGATCTTTGAGCTTATTTTCAGCCATTCGATGAGGCAAATCCCCTTGATTTCACTGTATGCGAAATTTGTTCCGGTGGAATGCACGAAGAGCTTTTACTAATTTGCGACCAGTGCGATAGAGGGTTTGTTTTTCTTTTGCATCTCTTGATTTAGTAATTTCTTGCGCCCGTTCATAGTTTGCGATTGTGCGCGATTCGATTACTTCACTAAAAAGAAAACATACGTATCGATTAGGAAAACCCGGTTATTATGCGGTTCGGCGACTTATTCTTTGAAGCGAAGTGTCGGTGAGCAGCCATTCCTGCCTCAATTGGGCGTGAAGGGGGGGTGGGCGGCAACATTTTTTGCTGCGCACAGGAAAGTTAGTGCATTATAACTACGACAACATTTCATTTGATAATTTGGGATAAGCAATGCCACCTTAATAGGGCGCGGCAATTTGTCCGTCTGCGTCACTTGGCTAGTGTGGGGATATTTTAGCACGCAGCTCTCAGGGACTGCTCTGAATCAAATTTTGCTCGAGACTGGAATGAAGTAGCATGCTGCAAGCGGCTGTATTGTTCGCCACTTGATTTTGGCGGCATAACCTGCTGGCGGGAGGATTCGGCTCTGCGTAGATGTTAAACCTGACGAGGAATGCTCAACTGGTCAGTCCGGCCATTTATAATGAGATGTAGTCCAATGGACGCGTCTTGCGACGCTGAGCTCAAATCCGTTTTCGTTATCTGCGGAACGATTCTCTGAAAGAAGTTACGAGGGGATCTTCTCACTATGGCTTTTTTCACTGTGGCATCCTCTACATTCCCCTGTCCTACATGGTTCGCATAAGAAGAGCCAGAGAGCATCACACAGTTGGCAAAGTGGCCTAATGGATATCTCCCTAGACTCATACGGGAGAGGTCACAGGATCGGATCCATAGAACCGCAAAGTTTTTGCATTTTTTCATGGCTTCTCATACGAGCCCAAAAAGTGTCTATATTTGGTTATTTTGTTGATTTGCGTCCCCACTTGACATGTGGCTGAGACAGACTTTGGAATTTTCCTCTCGTCCGTCTTTTTAGGTTTTCTATTATGATGAACTTTGACACACGGGACAAAACACAAGGACACAGGCTCGTAAATATACAAAATTTCAATAATTCGTGAGCATATGTGATAGTTCTTCACATGGTGATGAAAACAAAACAGCTTTTCGCAGTTGCACAGGAAATAAAGAAAGAGCTAAGGTGATGTAGAGGGTGCCACAGTGGGAAAGTCACAAAGAGAAAAATCCCCCTAACTTCTCTCAGAGAATCGTTCCGCAGATAACGAAAACGGATTTGAGCTCAGCGTCGCAAGACGCGTCCATTGGACTACATCTCATTTCAAACGGCCGGACTGACCAATTGACCATTCCTCGTAAGCAAAAGTACTTCCTAGCTTTTGGAAGGGTACCAGGGGTAGTGCTGGCTTCAAGCGTTCTGTATAGTTATGTCAATAGTGCGAATTATGAAAGGCCGACAGCTTGTAGTTCTAAGCTGGAAATATTTTTGATGATCCTAAAAGGCTTGAATGCTCTGCGCCGCGATACCTCCTACCCTCTTAGTACATTAGCGCTCTTTTTGTGCCGGGAACAACTTGATTTTTTTCTTCAGCTTCCTCTCGATCTCGCTGTCCCATAACGGTTTCCTTTTAAGATTTCACACCTACTGCCTTAACCCTCCTCTGGATGCGGTTCCCACCTCTGAACAATGGTTCTGTCCTCAGTGTGAAGAATCTCGAATGAACCAGCCATCCACAAGTCGAAGAACCAGCCATCCACAAGTCGAAGAAGTGAGCCATCAGCAAGAGCTATTCGCCTTGTACAGCGAACCGCTCTTGCAGAGCGAGTCCGTCGAATGCTGGCTCGCAACCGCCGAGTGTAAGTGCTTTGATTCCTTAGTCGGTCTTGGAAGTGTTAGTAGCGATTGTTCCCTTTCCTTCTTTCGCCCTTCAGAAGAGCCTGTTTCTTCGTTGTTTTCCACGACTTCATGTTTATATGAGAATGGTTCAGAGTGGAAATAATCGAAAGTAGCACAGAAGAGGAAGAGGAAGAGGGTGGTGATGACGAGGAAGAAGAAGAGGAGGAGGAAGAGGAGGACTCCGTTGCGTCAAGTGAGGTAGGTGAGCCGTTTATATGCTGTATGTATGACCACACTCTTACCCTAAGCGCACAGGTTGGTTGACTGGTATAGTTGCAGCGCTAGGTAGCCATGTTTCCCGAGTGGGTGACGCCGTGAATCTTCTTACATCTCGGTGCTGTTATCAGAGCTCTTATTTACCAGAGACGTTAAGCGATGCTCCTAAGAAAGTTATGATGAGGAATTCCAGATCAAACGAGAGTGTACAGAATCTAGTGCAAAATGTGTTCATCGTGCCAGATGGCAGCCTGTGTAGCTTTTCATGTGAGGTAATTAATTTGTAGGAAGAGGCGAGAGACTTTTTCGACGACGACGCTCGAGTGCTCGGTGAAATTGAATACGATATCCCACGCGGAGAAGTTCCATTGCCAACGTCAGTTATTTCAAAGATTTATTTTGTTTTTATGGTCGCTAATACATAGTGTTAATGAACTTGTGCGTACACTTTTTCCTGCGTTTCAGAGTAAGAAGGAGATCCAAAAAGGAAAGAACTGCTAGTAAGAAGACAACGAAGGCGGCAGGGAAAAGGAAGAAAGTGACTAAGAGACGCACTAAAGGGAAGCGGAGAAAAGTCAAGGTGGAATAATAAATAATTTATGTGCTACAGCAACGAAAAGTGCAAAAATAACTACAGAATTTGGGAAGTGGTTTGAACTTGAATTTCTGTAATTCGAGCAAATTCTGAATTTTTGCCGTGATCTCGAAGAAAATCAAGGCACTTGGGTAGGACAAACGTTCTGTCAAGTTGAACAGACTTGACT